GAAAAATTTAAGTATTTCAAATTTGGCGTTGAGTTATGCGTGGTTCTTACATACGAGCGCTTGAAAGTCTTGACGCAAAAATTTCTCACTAAACAACTAGGTTACTTTTAAAGAACGACTGTTAAACGGATATTATACATTCACTTTGCAAAATTTATGGTGATTTATGCTGGTGACCGTAAAAGACGAGTGTAAAGCAACAACCATTCATACAGTTAACGACCTGAGTAATTCAAGTCCGATGCAAAAACGCATGATCACAGGGGCCCGACTGGTGCGTTCCAGCCTGGGTTGCTGCCTGTTGCAGCGCTCTAGCGCTGCAAGACAAAAAAAAAATAAAAAGGGGTGATTTCGTAGAACGGAGAAGAGATGAGTACTGTTAGCGCCAAGATGAGAGAAGTTCGCCCAGTTCAATGGTTTTGTCTAAGAAGCTGCGAGCCAACAGTATTGTAATCTACCAACCAGTCGCGCCCGCCTGATTCAAATAAAAATGAAAAGAACGAGGAAAAGGGAAATAAAAAAAACGAAAACAAAATTGCCGAGTGATAAGATTTTGATGAACAAAAAATTCGTTTTCAAAATTAATCAGAAAGGCGCTAAAAGAAAGAGAAGCTAATTATTTTGTGGGAATACTGACTTCATCTAATAAATTACAGAAATTAGAAAAATCTTTCATTTACTATAGCATGCCACTTGGTTGCTATTACAAATCGGGCTAAGTTTTATCAATAATTATTCTGCATTTATATTCTTACTAGGACATGTTTAACTAGAAACTTAGCAGGAAATGCGCAACACTACGCTTATAAAATAGCAAAAAAAAATTGGTTAAAATAAGTATATGAGCAGGCTACGTAAAAAAACGTATACCAAGAATGACAAGACTGCTCGGACTATCAGCGCGGACATTCCCTTTTAGTGATTTTACTGGGATGTTTCCATGTATGGAGCGCTGTTATGTCAAGACTTTCGATCCTAGGAAAAAATATATAAACTGAAGAACTGTGCAATTTTTTGGCACTGTTCAAAGTGCTTTTGAAAAAGCTAAAAATATCTGAGCATTAAAAAACTCTACCAAAAAACCATAGTGAAGACTGTCCTAAAAACATACTGATTTTAAAACAATGCACTGATTAAAAACTGTACCAAACAATTATTTTACTGAACGGAAGGAAATAAATGTGCAAGTCAAATTTAATAGAAAAAGTTTTATAATCTTTTGCCAAAAGGATTCCTTAAACTTAGAAATGAAGTTAACGCAGTTCCGGATTATTTAGAATGAATAACATGAAAATCACATTTTCAGTGCTATGTGTTTTTTATGCTATTGAAAAAGATAATTATTCGTAGATAGTCTGGTCCAATTACACTGACCTGTAGATAAGAGTCATATCCAGATCCACAAGCGAATTCAAACATGGCACTCATCCCCTTGGCCCAGAGCGGTAGGCATTTTACGTTTGCTTGACATTTCTTGAATTCGGCGAACTGCTTGCAGGCCTCATCGATTTGCCTGGGCTGCTTTATGACGACCAGTGGATGAGGCTGGAACGTTGTGATCGGCTGAATACAAACAGCAAATTGCTTCTGCTCCTCCGGCTCGCAGGACTGCACTGGCTGTACTGATGGACCTGTATCATTTTGAAATTTTGCAAATTGCATTTTTTGAAAGAAAACAAATGTAACTTATTTTTTGGGAACTTTCTGACAAATGCAATTTATTTTTGGTATTTTTATTCTCGTCTGCTTGTTAGAGACCTTTTCAGTTCTCGTGCGAATTCAAACCATTTTAAAAGAAAATTTGATTCTAGCTGTCAAAGCTCCGCAGAAATCAGAAGATAATCAGTGCCGGTACCTCCTGTGCTTTGCTTCGGTAGAGGCCGAGCTGTTGGTGCTGCTACGGGTCGTGAAATAATTTCTTGCAGGTTGCTTGGACGCTGCTCCGGGCAGCCCTCCTCGACACCCAGATCATTCACCTACAATGCACAACTTAGTAAGAGCATAAACGCAATAAAAATATAATTCAGCTAAGAGTAAATTTAAAATTTCAAAAGATAAATGATTCAGATGTGTTCCAGTAACACACTCCCTCCGTGCTCCTAATTTAACTGACCGCAAAGAGCGGAGTTTCGATGCAAACCAATCAAGAAGTCAAACAGCTGGTTGCTGTTCGGTAAAAAACGTAACTGTTGTGAAATGCAACGTAAAATGTGACTTACTGAAACGATTTGACCACTACCTTGTCCCAAGAATGGTTGATTTTAGTGAGCATAATGAGAGACTAGTGGGGTGATAAGTATAGATTAGATAAGGCTATCCTGTTTTAGAATCCACACAACAAACTTTTGGCTTTTTTAGTTCCAACAATTTAATGAGCTAATGTCACAAATGAGTTACTACACGTTGAAAAAAGTCATTTACTGCTAACTTAGTGTATTTAGCGACAAATCAAAAGTTGGTGCAGACAGGTAAAAAGCCCAAGACTTTTACAGTTTGCTTATTGTTAATAGAGATGTTAATTACGGTACA